GCGTGTTCTCTCGCGGTGCATCGTGTCGTGTAACAACGAAAAGGTTACTCCGTTAACTCGCATGGCAAACGATACGCGACACACCCGAAACCCTCCGAGATTTTTGCCAATTCTCCCGAAGGAACTTGGATCGATCGAGATTACATTTCCGGTCGGGCGAAGCTTCTAGCTGGTAGCGAGGCAAGAGTTCCTTGACCTCGAGGAATCGAGTTCAAGAAAGAATACACCGTAGGATCCAAATCTGGACGGAGCGCGATTACCGAGAACAAAAACGCTTGTTTCGAGCGAGCCTTCGGCCGCCTCGCAATTTCGTTTCCGATCGAACAAACTTTCAAGGCGGAGAACTCGAAAGACTTCCGTGTCGTCGAGAGATCGAGCGCGATCGAGCGCGCAAGACCTTCGTTTTAAAAAAGTGACACGTTCGTTTCCTTCGTCGAGAGTGCTCCATCGATCTCAACGATTCAAACCACGGCGCTAAATCAAGGATCGTTAGCGAACAGGTCGCAAACGTCTGAACGTCGAGAGAAACGATTCTAAGGAAGGAAAGGTGTTTAATAAGGTAAAAGAGAAACGGGAGAAAGAGAGAGTGTCCTTTTCCGACAAACGTGCCACGGTAGGACGCTATAAATAACTCAGCAACTTCTCTGAAAACGGAAAGTAGCTCGCCTTCGAGTTCCGTAGCAAATTCCCAGAATAGCTTTCTGGATCGGTGTTCGTTCGGTCGTTCGACCGCTTGTTTCCTTTACTCGTGATTATCGAAACCAATCGAGAGCACAATTTTCATTTCAACTCGTTTCGTCTAACTTTCTATTGTTAAGTAACGAAAAATTATTCTCTCTTTCTGCTCTGATAACCTTTAAAAGTATACGCAACCCTGTTGTTGTTAAAATTAATCGACGGCTGACTATAACCGTCTACGTTCCACTATCACCAACGAAAGCAAACAAAGTCTGCGTACTCGAGCAATTCGTTCGAATGCTCGAATAACGATCCATCGATTTACGTTCCGAGTTTGTCCTCGACGAAAGAAATTTAAACATGAGAATACCTAGTCCCTGGTTATTCGATAGAGATCATTGGCTCTCTATCCCTCCTTTTCTTCCTCACCTACTGCTTTCGACCCTCTCTATTCTCTGTTCATCCAACTCTCGATAGAATTACGCGCTTGCCTCATCATCGGCATTGTTAACGCCGACCTTCGTCATTGGGTCAAGATCGCCTGTATTCCGTGTCCTTGTGTTTCGTGTAATGTCAAACGAGAAATAAGGATGGGGAACTTGAAAAAGTCACGGTCGTCATGGTTCCCCGCGTAGAACGCTCTTCGACTGTTCAGCGCGACGGGTCAATTGAAACGGGACAGCTGATCGTATTTTTGCGATTCCCGACGAACCAATTGTTGGACCAATATCCACGATTGTAATTGCCAAGTAGTTTGCAGTCATGATTGACGATAGATCGGTTTAAAAGGAGGACAGTTTTGCGACGGTGTTGTTCTCGAGCGCGTGCCCCGAAGTAGACGGAACTAAAAAATGTTCAACCGTTTAAACATACTATGTAATAACTCGGGGGACGACGAAAGCCGTCGACAAACAAGACCGAGCATGGTCGAAAACGCTTACGATATCGTTCTCGCGCGACCGTGCCAAGATGCAATTGATGTAAATTAAAGTAACGATTAGAGGAAGCGACAGAACTTGATTCCGTTCTCGGCATAACGCGTCGACAGTAGACAGCTGGACGCACACACACGCTACGCGACACCACTTATTCGTTTGCTCGAGGCAGCGTTTGTTCGTTGACGGACTTGCTCCGAAATGGAACGCGACCACAAACAACCGAACGGGCCGAATGAGCTGTAGACGAAGAGAAATGATCGGATGAAGAACGAGGAAGGGAACGGAGTCGCGCAATTTCATTTTCTTCGCGAATCGCGTACGGACTCTGCTCACCACTTGAGAGAGATGAAACGCAGACTTCAGAGCCAGAGTCGGGCTAAATTCTCGTCGAACGTCGCGTATTTTCAGGTTGATCGTTTGGAGCAAAGTAAAGTACCGTCGATGAGATCATTTCGGTTGAGAAATTCTGTTGAGCGAAATATTGCGCATCTACCAACAATGTTTGGGATCAAAAGAAAAAGGAACAAAAAGAATTGAACGAACGCAACGTCGCGAATAAATCACAACGTGCAATGTTTTTATACAACTCGGGACTGCTCGACAAACCAAAGAATTCCACGGTTTTTCATGAGAATTCCTTCTTGTCTCGTCCTTGATTGATAAAGTTGATCGAATGAAAGGTAAAAGAAACGAATCGCGGTTGGGTTTTCACAGTTCGAAGGAAGCTTTTCAATTCGACCCGACCCGACCCGACCCGACCCGGCTCGACCCGTCCCGCTTCGTCCGGTTTCGTAGCTCCGTTCCCTGGTCACGACACGCGACACTCGACACTCAGACACACGACACTCGACACTCGACACTGAACACCGAGGACGTACCCGGAGCTCGAAGACGACGGCAAACTACTGTTTACGATGCGAAATCGTTTCGAAAACCGGGGAGAACTCTGCTGCTGGTCGATCGAAATAAGGAGGAAAGAATCGTGAGAATGGCGCGTGTTCGCAATCGGTACCTCGAGAAACGTACCTTGATCTGCTGTTCCTTGAATGGCAGCAACGGGCACCACGAATAGATTCCTTCTGATCCGGGCGTCGCGGCGTTCCGCGTCTAATATACACCTCTCGGCGGGTGTTCCGTTGCGCGCGTCCTTCTCTTTCAGGGGGAACCCCTTTCTGCGCCACCCCTTCGACTCGCCCATAGAATCGCCGCGTTATCGCTGCCCCCCTGGCCCTGGTCTCTCTGCTCCGAGTCGGCCGTCGCTGGTGCCATCAGCTGCCCGCCTAATTGCGAACAGGCAGAAATAGAGCCTGCAATCTTCTTCCTTGCGAATAACGAGTGGCTGACGTGACGTCTTCTACGTCATCGTAGGCTCCTTTCGTATTCCTTTTCGCCTCCCCACCTTCTCGGTGCTTTCCTTCGTTTCCTGACTTCTTCCCGCCCTTTCAATTTCCTTATTTTTTTCGCTCGTTTCGACGCGATTGAACCGAGACGCGCGCGCAGATCGTCTCGAGCGAGCCACGTTTCGAGAATCGTCGTAGGGAGGGGACGGAAACGTAGGCGTCGTAGAGACAACAAAAGATAGTTGATCAACGACAATTTTAGGATACACGTGGAACACCAACGACGGAGAAATTGCCTCGAGTACACGTGCCGTCGCGCGTCCTATCTCGCAACCGAGGGTGCCCGGAGGACGCTCGAGTCCGCCAGCTTCTAGATTCGGCTATGAAACTATTCCTACAAAGTTGATTTTTTGCATACGCTTTCATCGAGTCGCGCAAATAATTTTTTATTCCTATTTTCTGGTCTGTAAGAAATGATCCTTACGTATGCGAAATACGAGATTCTTAATATTTAAAAAGGAAAATATTCCACGCCGTTTGTCGATCGATATTCACGTCCGAAGCTAGATTATAAGACCGAAAGTTCTCCTGTGATCAAACGAGGACCCGCTCGAAAATAGCCGAGGAAAATATTTTTTGACTGTAATTACAGATTTCGCGAGATGAAACGTTCTTCGTCTAGACTAGAGCATAGTTAACGCCTGGCTCCGTGTATACTATGTAAATTAGATAGCAGCGTTTTCCAAACTAGAGACGGAGCGGTCTCTAAGAAATGCGCCTTACAATCAAGTGTATTCATTATAGGGAGACGTCTTACAAAAAGTTTGGAAACCACTGCTACGTATGGTATAGTAAACGTGTACTGTATAGGGATACCGTGAGTTTGTCCTCGCGTCGGGGGCAACATTCTTCGAAACGGTTTGAAAGTCTCTGTTCTGGCGTAATATGCACTTTCCACAACCAGTTAGGCACGTACTCCGCAGTAATTGACTCGTACCGATAGTCAACGCACGGCCGAGCCCCGACGACTCTATCGGGACTCAATTATAACTCAATGATGTTCAACGTTGCGTATCCCCGTTGCGAATTACTCTCGGCGCGGTTCTCTTTCTCGTCAAGGGTGAATAAGAAGAGCGTTCGAGTTAACTCTATTAATCTGGTTAGAGCATCGCGCAATTATAAAGAAAATAATACGAGGAGAGTACGAAAGAGTGCAATACGTATTATACATTTGAATTCAAATTTTGCTCGCCTTTGCTTATCGGCCGCTGGAAAGCTAAGCCAGGTTTCGTGGCAAAACCAACGAGTAGAATGAAAAAGTGGTATCGGAGAGAAGATGGAATGAAGAAGGAGAGGAAGGTGAAAAGGAGAAAGGAAAGGCAAATATGTTCGAGCTAGACGCCTAGACAGCGTGGCAGCAGCCCCGGTATTGAAATAAAACGAGAATAGATTCACAATTGCACGTGCATGCAGACTCATAATGCTTCCTCTTCTTCGACATCCTGCACTTGATATTTACAAGTTACATCCAGTGGCCCATTATATCATGGAGCCCATGGAGCTTCGGATGAAATTCTCATCGAAAGAAAAGACGAATGGAGAACAAATTTTCTCTATTACCAAGTTTACCTTGTATGTACACCTATAACAGCGAAAATAAAAAAAGGACTCTATATTATATACATATATTAAGAAGCAATGTTGTAACGACGCTTATAGCATCAATTTTCTGTACTTTCTATTTCAGGGGGTTGATGAGTTTGCCTTCCGAGAAGCTCATTTGTTTCTTTTCATCTGCCGTTTTTCATCAAATAATTCTCCTTGACTCCTTTTTTCTGTTGTTTGTCGCGATGCCACGGTTACCAGAAACGACTTCTCGATAAGACGATCCTATTTTCTCCCCTATCCTTGTCGACGATAATAGATAGCTCGATAGTCTGGCGACACGATACACGCGCATCTATACGCGTCAAAGTACATTTAGCTACAAACGCGCATCGTCATTGTCGCGATGTATTTATTGTTTTCTTTTTTTTTTTTTCAGTGAACTTTTAAATCAGAAGATATCATCATGCACACTTCAGGAAACGTTTTCATAACGAGTTCGTCTTCAACGGAAACTTGGACAACGTTTTCGTATGGCTACTCTGGTATCTTGATCGCGAAGCGTTGGGTGCTCGCTCACGGCTCCATATTGACTTCTATCGTGAACCGATCTGGCAAGCTTTACCACCGCGTCGCCACTCTAAATCCTGGAGAATTAATATTATTTGGAACGTCGGGGTTAGTCGACGATTTAACTCTTCTGATCCATCGTGGCCGCTCATCGATTGAATCAGGAAAGCTGGTGGCTGCTTGGAAGTGTCCACTTTTGAAGGACACTTTGGAGAATTTGTTCGAGAGTTGGAAATTTCAAGAGAAGCAAGCATTCGATCGCCTTTTATTGCCGACCTTCTTAATGATCGAGTGCGGAGAAGAGCTGGTGTCCGAGTTTCTGGAAGATGAAGACGATAGAGAAACACAAATGAAATCGAAGATTCAAGAAACACTGCTCCGATTCGCGAAAGAAACTGCTGCTAGCAGACTCGTTAAAGGATCCACCGTTGAAATTGTGTCGACACCTTTTGGAAATGCCTTCTTCGCCGATACTGTGAGTCGTGGGATCGTAGGAAATTTACTTGGACTCGAAGAATGCCTGATTCTGATGGATGCTACCGTTTTCCCGGAATGCGAGGGTAGTCCTGTGTATTTGATCGATAATCGGTAATCCATTCTTCTTTTAAGCAATGTTAATTAATCCTTTCGAAAACAGTTTTCCCCTGCTGTTTGGTCTGCTCGCGCCCCTATTAATTGTGTTTCCGTTTCGTGATCTCGATCTCGATCTCGGCCTTGCAACATATTCCACAAAGCGGCTGTAAAAGTATCCGCGGCATGGTAATCGCATCGTTGAGCTGGTGCCGGGGAGAATGGGTCGACTACACTTTCGCAGTGAATTTGCTACCGTCGTTGAAGCAGATCGTTCAGAGTCGAGTCATACGAGATGAATCTCGATGTTTGGCCTCTGCGGTTCTCCCTTTCACCCGATGGAATAATCGCAACGACGAAATCGGTATGTAAGCCACTGTTCCGTGTTTCACGATTTCCGTTCATTCGGGTACAGCTCGAGCCACGTTGCGTTTTACGGAAAATCATTGATCCGTCTGTTAGATACCCTTGAAAGAAGCGTCGTGATAGTGAAATGCGGACCTAATTGGGGTACGGGCGTCCTGCTGGACGAACGGACAGGAACTTTCGTAACTTGTGCACACGTAGTTGCCGGAGTATGTATTTTTTCTTAAACGCGAAGACTGAAACGTGGACTGAATATCGTGCACGAGCTTTGTCTTCAACGAGAACCACTTATTCCTGCTCTTGAAACCAACATAAACAATTTTTTCTTTATCTCGGTTTATCCTGCGCTGTATTAAGGTCGTATACACTATAAGCCTATTTCATTTCGTTACCGAGATAGACATCGTTTATGTTGATCTCAAGAGCAGAAATAAGTGGTTCCCAATGATGAAGGCAATGCTTGTGCGTTCAGTCCTCGTTTTAGTCTTTATTGGCTACCATGTATAAGCATATGCGAATAAATTAAAGATTACAATACTAAATAAGCATCCTTATCCACATTTTCAGGCACAGGAACAGACGATCGAGCTCGCCACGTACATCGGGTCGGGAAAAGATATATCTCACTGGTTCGCACGTGCCAAGTTGATTTACAAAACACCACGTAATAGGCCTTACGATGTCGCCGTGTTAAGGATCGACTCGAGGCGCAAAGAGCCCTCGTTGAAAGCCATCAAGTTGGCCGATAAGCCTTCGAACAAGGGTGAGACTACGATTTCGTTCGGCTTGTTTCCCACGTTCGTTTACGCTTTAAATCGATACAAGTTAAAATCGATGACGCGGAGGAAACGAAAGAACAAGGGAAAGGAATGGGTTCGAGCATCGCAATTATCTCCGTTGAGATGGCTGTAAAGTAAAAAGATAAAACGATATACGATATTCCGTTATCAACGCAGTCGTTCGTATTAACAGTTACCCATCCGGTTATATCGAGACTCGCGGTCTTCCTTTGTAACGCACCTACACCGCTGGAGGTTATTCCGACTGGTTAACGGTAATGACAATAAGAATTAAGAATATAGGCAGATCGACGCACACACGGCGACACCGTGGCGCCTGAGCATTGCAAGGGACAACACTGACCTTTCATCGGCGGAAAAATAACTAGGTCTAAATTGGGCCAATTGATCTCTTAGGGGTAGAATCGACATTTCGTCAGCGGTGAATGTCGAACGAATGTCGCGGACGTCTCTAACGCCTTTCCGTCGTCTCGCCGCCCTCCTCTTCGCTGCCCCTACTCTCGCCTTTCGGGCTCCTTTCAATCGAGTCTAATGAGCATTCATTGTCAACAACTACAAATTAGGTAGAAAACTACTAGCCGAGCCAACGGGACGCGTGGAATGATATGTCTCTTGTGGGTTGAACATCTTATCACTGTTTGCCAAAGTAGGCGTCCATTAGGAAAACCGTCTTACGATCCAAGGGGGTCACAACAGGGAATTTGTAATGTGGACAAATGTAGACAATTTCACTACGCTTAACTAACATAATATAATGTTTGATTTGAAAAATGTATCGATTAGAAAATATGAACCGTTCAACAGGTGAGCCAATACTTTCGATTGGATTTCCATTTTCTTCGAAAGGCAGAGCCACTGTCAGCAACGGAGTGGTGTCGAAGATATCCGACTGCATGCTTCAAGCGAATTGCTGTGCGCAAAGCGGGGCTAGCGGCGGACCTATCGTTCGACGGGATACGCTTGAAATGATAGGAATGATCGTCAGCAACACCGTTTCCGCGGATGGTTCTACCTTATATCCGCGGCTGTGTATGGCAATACCTGTTACCGTTTTGAAAGGCCCGCTCAACGAGTATTTACGAACAACTGGTAAATATGTTATCCGTTAGAAAGAGTTTTTCCGGAGTTTGTAAGAATTGAATTTCCAAGTACAGGAGAAAGATATTTTTACTCCGTAGCCTGTACGAAATTTCCAACTTCTTCGTTAATAATGGCGTACGTTTTTCGTTTCGTTTTTAGATCCTAAAACGCTGGAGAAGCTAACACAACGCGATGTAAATATTGAAGCAGCATGGAGCTTCCGTCCTTTTCTTTATTCAAATATATGACATATACATTTTAAATGTCTACTCTAATCTGTTCATCCGTAATTGCGAGCAGATAAGGCGAGTAGATAACAATGAACCTTTGAAACAGAGAGGAAACAGAAAGACGCAAACTATGATTGTTCAAAAACACAGCATGTTTTATTCTGTTTGTATCAAAAGGTAGTCGTAATACTTGCACTGTTTGTATCTTTTGCTGTAAAGGTACTCTTTGGCATTTGTTCCGCTCAAATAAAAAGTTTCATCCAAATAAAGACTTCAAGAAGCCGGTCCTATCCGTTGCAGATTCATTCTCTTTCCTGCTTCTAATCTCAGCATCTGTGTCCCTTTGTTTTATCATAGGTGGTACAAATGTACTTTCTCCATCTTGTTGCTGTTGCTTTTTACGCAATTTCTTACTTCTATCAACGTTGTGGGAGAAGAAGTTTGCTTCTCGTTTAGCTTGTGCAATTTCTGCTCTAAGCCTTTGTTTACGTACTGCTCGCTCATATGCTAAACGCTCGCTCAAGTGTATCCATTTGAATCTAATAAAAAAAATATTAATACTGCAATTGTGGGGACATAAAAAAAGTTTTGCTTTAAAACTAATTACAATTTGTTACCTTGGGAGATACTTTATATTCCAAATAACATCGTAGAATTTGCTCTTTTTCCTAGTTGAAATTTGTGTATTATTCAATGTAAGTGCAACATATTTTGCTACCTTCTTACTTTCAAATTCTACCCAACCTTCGGTGAATGATTTTGCACAAACTTTCTTTCGCTTTTTTATCTTCCCATCTCGTCCTAATTCTGAAAACGATAACAATACCGCGTACAGCGATCTATAAATAATTAAAATTACAATTGGAAATACCGACACATAAATTTCCAGGTTATGTTTGCTATAGATCTTAATCTCTCGCTACGTACTTTATTTCAGTGACTAACCATTTTCTGCTAATTGCAAGTACACTCTTCCAATTTTTCCATATTCTGAAAGTAATTCGCGAATTTTTGTGATATTCATATATTTGGGTATGTTAGATAAGTATATAATTCCTCTCTTTCGATTCTTTGTCTGCGTCGCATTTTCCTCTTCTACGATTTTTTCGCTTTTAATGTTTTCCATTTGTCAGAGACTTTTATAAACCACTTTTTGTCCGTTTTCGAGACTCGCGTTGTTGTTTTCAATTTAAAAATATTTCAAAACATACCATATCATGTTCGATTATGCTCGCTTTCATGGAAACGACACGACGCACGCACGACGCAATATACATACAGGAGTTACCATACGCATACATATACATTTCAATGGCTCATTATATACAGGGTGCCCCAAAAGTCGGGGAGGAGCCGGAAATGGGGGGTAGCTGAGACGATTCTGAACAACAGTTTCCTTTGCAAAAATGTCGGATGGGGCTTCGTTAAGGAGATATTAAGAGAAAACCCCGACCAATCAGAGCGCGCGTAGATCGTTCAAGCGGCCGCGGTAGCGAAGGCTACGCGCGCTCTGATTGGTCGGAGTTTTTGCTTAATATCTCCTTAACGAAGCCCCATCCGACATTTTTGCAAAGGAAATTGTTGTTCAGAATCGTCTCAGCTACCCCCCATTTCCGGCTCCTCCCCGACTTTTGGGACACCCTGTATATGTACATATAAATTTTGTTTCTATCTTTGCTATGTGCATGTTCTGTTTGTAGCATACATTATCATATCTGTTATGATTATAAATTTTATTATAATCTGTACGCGATCCATGAAACGTATATATTATTTTTTCCATGTTTAGTACTGTTTTCATGTAACTTTCAGAATTGAAGCTCAAGAATGGATCGATGAATGATATATTTTTGGTTATATATATCCTTGTTCGATTCTCTAACTTTCAGTGCTCAAATATCTAATATTCCATGGACGTTGTATTAACGATAGATACTAGCTTACTGGAAATGGATAATAAAAGAATAAATATGTTTTTATAATAATACCACTTGCCTGTCGTGAAAAATTTGGAAAAAGGATAGGGTCACTCAAAATAATTAGCCTCACGTCCCGAACAGTGTAGATAAATGAACGACATGTCGATTTCAACGGTTAATATACGAAAAACCAAAAACGATTACGAGTGATTTGTGGAAAGTGCTGATTGCCGGTTGTGACTCGACCCACGAATGCGTTTAACGCGTTGCAGCGCTACCGCCTTACTCTTCTTGCTGTTGCGCAACAAGAAGCGCGCAGCGTCTCAGTGTGTGCACAAAGGCACAAGTGCATTCGTAACACGATGTATCGTTGAAGAAAGCTCAACTTTTCCGCGAGATACGTTTTTTTCATGAAGATTCCGCGGAAGAAGTTTTACATGAATAATCCTCTGCACGAATAACTCTGTAACGGCGAAAACAACGACGGGTGAGCGAAAACTTTCGGGGAAACGTTACTTGGTTGACTCAAACAAAATGGCGACGATCGTCTTCTTGGCGGTACTGTTTACTTGACCGTGAACGTTATGTTTCTCGCGAAGTGTGGCACGAGAGGTGTTGTGTTTTTAACTTTCTTACTATCGATTAGCATCGGTTTAATCACACAATTTTAATAAACTGCGTGACGTATGTGGCCTTTGAAGTTTTCGTGATCGTACCTCCATATCATAGGTAATAACGTGACAAATGCGAACGACACGCACCGTGCAACACGTTTTTGCAATTTGTCGTTCCTCACTTTTCTAATTTTTCCTGAATCTTTTTGGAGGGATGTTAAAGATTCGTAATGTTCGACTTTCGTCGATACCCGACCCGGCTTGTACTACGTAGGAGCGAGATTTAATTTCCATGTAGCCAGGAGCGTGCCTAATTAATCGGAAACTTTGCCTAACCGTTCTGGTACACTCGATGCCCATTCGAACGTTGGTCTTCCCTTTCAAGGGCGCTCATAACCTTTCTTTCTTCCGGATACGTTCGACTCGGGACACGGGTATGCTACAATTGTTACTTTTAACGAGACGGATCCATTAAAGGCGAACACTGCAACTTTTCCTCTAGGTTAAGAAACAATGTCTAGTTCGTATGTTATCGAACCGCAGGAAAGCGGATCGGACAAGAAGGACGACACATTGATTATTGTAGTCAACGACGATGGCACCATATCCGTTGACCAAGAAACCTTACAAAGTTTGATCAGTAAGTTTTGATTGTTATTCGATTTACCTTGTCGATATCTTATGTAGTATCTGATCATCTTTATTTTCAGTGAATCAATCCAATGCAAATGTCAGCGTAGTTAGAGTAGGCCAAGCCGAGACAGATGCTGAAAATGGTGATATCACATTGACCGTAGACCCTCCTCCATCTTTTACACCAGCTGCTATAAATCCTGGGAGCACAGCTCCAGATGCTGGTACCTTTGTCGATCCTTTCATGGAAATGGATCCAGAGCAACTGGAAAGATTGGAGACAGCTTTGCAAAGTGAAGAAGCAAAGCAAATTCTTGGAGAAAATGTTACAGCTATGCTTGATATGTTAACAGTGGAGGAACAACAGAACTGTATAAGGTACAGCGTCGAACTGGATCATTGCTATACAAGCAGGACGTCGCCTTCCGATCCAAAACCAAAGGATCCCCTGCCCACTACTGATTCACCCACTTCTGTTGACAATGTGCAATACGCGCGTCAACTTTCACCTGTTGATGCATCCAATACCACGTCAGCTGTTGCCGAAGCTGAGAGTATAGTTTCAACAAAGTCAAAAGTTACTCCAAAAACGAATAAACCAGTGGGTCGCCCGCGAAAGAATGTCACCCCGGGTTCCGTAACGGTACCCAATAACTCAAGATCATCCGTCAATATAATGAATACACCTAAATCTATCGGACACCCAGCCTCGAGAAATTTAACTGGAGCATTACACCAAGGAATTGGAAAACATCAAGGAAGGTCCAACGACGAGGATGAAGAGGAACCGTCGTCTTCGTCCACTGAATCGTCTGAATCGGAACCACCATCCGACAATGATTCCGACTTTGGACCACGAGGCCCTAGAAGAGGTGGCATTAGAGCTAGAGGTGGTAGAAAAGGTCTCACTACCAGAGGAGGTAGTATGGCAGCTACTCGTAGGAGGGGTGCCAACAAACAAATGGATATGGAGCAAGTCCGACGATTAGACATGGAAATGGCTGCAGCCGTCAACGCTATGAAAAGTCCGGAGAAAGATGAAAAATCGGGAGGATTTAGTCTTGTTAGAGGTAAAAGACAGTATGGAAGAACTAGCGTTGGGAGAAGAAAAGAAGATCCGCAACGCGTCGAACCATCTCCAGTCATAAACGAGGACATGCCGGTTGCGTTTGAGAAACCGCTCCAAACAACGAATCAAGTCAAAGCGAATTTGATCAATGCTAATATGATCAAAGGCGATATGATCCTCACGAAACCTGGACAAGGAAAGAACAACCAAAAGGTTACGTTTGTGCAAAAGCAAGTGCTTATGAAACCGAACGACATTAAAAGCATGGGCTTGAAGAAGCAAGTGATGCTTCCTAAAGGAAAATTCTTGAGTCAAGCTGGAACCAAGTTCTTCGCGACTAAAGACGGCAAGTTGGTTCAAGTACCGATAACTGCCAAAGCTATAACTTCAAACGCTCCGGTTAGTCAAATCAAGAGTCCGGTGCCCCAAGTTTCTCCAACGCAACAATCTGTCGTTATTCAAAATCAAACATCACAGATACAACAGCAACAACAATTAGTAAAAGTGGCTTCACCTGCTGCAGCTTCGAAAATGAAACCTTGCGATGTGAAAAAAGAAAAAAGGAAGTCCGACGGATTGGAGGTTGTTGCAAAAACTGAAGTTGATCCTGGAAGAGCAACGGAAGGCAAAGTTTTGGATGGTTAGTTGATACGAACGTAGTTTGTAGTATTCGTGCAGTTAGATATTTCCGATTAAAGATTTCTTTACAGGTACGAAAAAACATCATCCAAAGAAAGAAACTCGTAAAGCACCAGCATGCATAGTGGATAGTCTAGGACCTGCGCTTTTCTCGACTCCAGACATCATTCGCCGTGTCGGTTCGAACGGTGATTCGAAAATTCAAGAGAATATAGTGACATCTCCGATTGGCGCGTCACCATCTACAGGCATCGTATCCCCGGGTACTTCTACAGCAGTGGCACAATCGTTGTCGTCGTCAATACCTTCAACGTTATCGAGTCGTTCAGGTTTGTTTAGCATTTTTATACTTGTGTTACGTACATACTCCGGAGTTATTTCAAATTCTTATTTGTGGTCAAATATTATGACAAAAGGTATTACTGTGCCCACGTCTTCCGAGCGAGTTTCGCATTCAGAGTCTCACATAATCACGGAAAAGAGGGAAAATGATGATTCCTTAGTCAACGAAGAGGAATGTAAACCGGTCGTAAAAGCTAATGTACCAGAGGAGTTACAGTCTACTTTAGAATCAGGTAAAATTCGAAATGAAGTTTTCATATTTTCTTTCTTCTTTACTTATTTTTGTCGAATGTTAATCGCGATGTATGTAAATTAATTCGACATTCATTTTTAAGGCGGTATAGAAGGCGAGGAACAGTTACTAGCTACATTAGAAATGGAAGCTAGTAAACACGAAGAGGAACTGCTGGCAGAAGCACTGTTGTTACAAGAAGAGCTCGGAGTTGATTTGACCGAACATGTATTACAAATTTTTATTTTTATTTTTTCATTAAAAAGTACAATTCACGAATGTTTTATTCGAAAGCCTCAAAATCGTTTACTTGAAATAGTATTTACCAGACACAATTATATTTTCTTTAGCTATACATTTTTCTTTTCTTTTTCTTGAATACCGTAGACTGCACTTGTCGAACAAGGAGGTACTGTGGCATCGGAATCGTTGTCTTCGAGTAATGCTGTTCCGTCTTTGCTCACATCCGAGTCAGAACCCGCTAAACCAATGGATACCGTTACGCCAATAATCGTGACGACAACCATGACGAGCACGACAACGGTTATGGGAACTTCACCCGCAATAACTACTAGGGAACCGGTAAAGAAGTGTTCGAAGGAGGAGAAGGAACCCATTCAGATTATTCGTGGTGGACGAATAATTACGCTACCTCCTATCGAGGCACCGGCTACTAGAAGTAAGCGGTTACAAGCAAAGGTTGAACCTGCACAAAAAACCTTCAATACAGTGAAACGAATGGACAAGTTCAGGTGTGTACATTGTGTACAGCACGAGACCATTCATAATTCGATAATTATACTTAATAATGTTCATCCATATTATAGCATGCAAGCGGTACATCAAAGATCGCCGCATTCCGTCAAGGGTGATACTCGTTTGACCGTCATTCATGGCGAAGAACATGACAGCGAGGAAATGATGTTAGAAATGAGGAACGAGGAAGAAGAGACCGAAAAGCACGATGAAGTGGAGGAAGATGAGGATGAGGAAGACGACGAGGAGGAGGATAATTCGGATTCAGAAGATGATCCCGACAGGCTTTGGTGTATATGTAAGCGGCCACATAACAATCGTTTTATGATTTGTTGCGATGTTTGCGAAGATTGGTTCCACGGAAAATGCGTACATGTTAGCAAAGCTATGGGTGAGTTTGAAAAATATTACACCCATCTCTACAATGTTTATCGGTGATGCGATAACATCGCATGATATGTGAATTTTTTATTATTTTTCTTAGGTCAACAAATGGAAGAAAAGGGAATAGAATGGGTTTGTCCGAATTGCTCGAAGAAGAAGGATGAGGAATTAAAAGCTAAGACCGTATCTGGAAAGCAACGAATTCATTCTGACGCTTTATCTGAGAATTCCATCCTTATGAAAAATCTTAGCTCCCCTAATCAAACAGTTGCTAAAGAAACATCGTCTTTGATCTCTTCCGATTATGGCGGCGTTCAATATTCCAGCGGTATGCAATGCGTCGTTTGTAAAAAAGAAGCGAGGAATTCCAGCATATACTGTTCCGATGCTTGCATACTCGCACACGCCCAAGAAACCCTAACCAAAGACAAACCAGTACCGGTACCAATGCAAAGTCCGAAAGCAACAAAAGTATCACCATTTGACGCTGCCTCCAAGCTAAAGTCCGAAGCTAGAATCATAGTCTTTGAGAGAAAAACGGGAAAAGTGTTATCTGGTGAGTCAATGGTTTTCTTAACGAATTACGTCCTCGAATGAAAGGTAAAATTTTCAGGTGCCGATGCTCCGACAAGATCAAATTTACGTATGTGGTTAAAAGAAAATCCTACATTTGAGGTAGTTGGTGCAAATAACCTTGGCTCGGTGCAAGTAGGAAAAACGATTACGTCTATTCACACACAAGTGCCAGGCAAACCAGTAAGTATATAAAGTTTCCGCTTTAACTGTTTGGAGTTTTAGTATTCTATACGGACAACAATGAAATATTCAAATCATCGAAACAATGTGTTTTAAGGGGAAAGCTACGATACTGCCAACCGGGAAAGGACAAAATGTTCCGAAGATGACATACACCAAAGTTCCAGGTTCCAAGCAAATGATTTTAACCGCAGGAAACAAGAAATATACGATAATCTCCAGTGGACAACAACAATCTCCGCAACTACAACAAGTTCAACCACAACACACGAAAACGATACAGGTGAAACAAACGTTAGTCTCTCAGACGGATAAAAGTCCATTGATAATGAAGATAACAACACCAAAATTGACCAATCAGACACAATTGAAACAACAGCCTTCAGCATCGCCAAAACAAATGCCGAATGCGAAGAAGCAAGAGGTCAAACAAACGACTGTACAGGTGAAACAACAAATAAAACCAAGTCCAACAAGAAAACCTGAAACCGAACCGATCAGGGTGAATATACGAAAAACTTTGACGGAGTTGTTATCAACTCGCATAAAGGAAACCGAAGATTTGAAACTGACCGACGAGGAAATCGTTGAGTTAGCTTTCAATATCGAGTTGGAATTGTACAAATATTTCAAAGATACTGGTGCCAAGTATAAAGCCAAGTATAGAAGTCTCGTATTCAACATAAAGGACACCAAAAATTTAACCTTATTTCGAAAAATTGCCGACAGATCGTTGACACCCGACGCTGTAGTAAGACTAAGTCCCGATGAAATGGCGAGTCAGGAATTGGCTGAATGGCGAGAGAAAGAAACTAAGCACCAGTTGGAAATGATTAAGAAGAACGAGTTGGATTTGATGGCGCAGGCCAAATCGATCGTTGTCAAAACTCACAAAGGCGAGCAGATTATTGAGAACGATGGCGCCATTGATCACGTTGATCCCAAAACGCCCGTGCAAGATATCGTGACCGCTTTGAACAGCGCCGACAGCATATCCTCGACCGTCGACGATGTGGAAAAGGAGATGGAGAGAATGAACGACGAAGATAGAAGCTTCAGAGGAACCGAAGACGCGAAGAAGTTGAAGAGCATCGACGAAAAGAGGAGGAAAGATAAGGAAAAGGACAGGGGTCGAGAAAAAGAGAAAGGCGGCAAGGATAAGGAAAGGGAGAAAGAGGTAGGTCGTTCGAGAGGGAGTGGTAGACGCGAGAGGAGCACCAGCAGAACTAAACACAAACACGGTAGGGACGACAGGGAACGTAGTAAGACAAGAGAAAAGAACAGAGAACAAAAATCTCGGGACAAGGAAGGTAAGCGGGAAAGGGAAAGGGATCGCGAGAAGGGGAAGGATCGGGAAAAGGACCGAGACCGATTGAGAACCGGGGAACGGGAAAAATCGAAAGTACGAGAGAGGGGCAACAAAGAGAAGAGCAAGCAAAAAGACAAGGACCGAGAACGACACAGGTTTAGCGAGAATAATTCAAGGAATCGCAGTAATCTGTTTGACATCGACAAAAGAGACGATGATTTGGATAAGAAAGAAGATCCGATAGGCTCAGCGGGAGCATCGTCAGAGAAAACGATCGAGGATCGACTATGGCGTCACATCGAGGACGAAGCCACCACGAACACCATCGATGGAAATGATTCCGATGTGTCAGATAGGGAACCCACTTCAACGGTGACGATTAAAACGCCAGATATTAACGAGGATATCGAGAGAGAAAGGGAACAAGAACCGGTCACAGTTGAAAAAGACATCCCGAAAGGAAGTTGGCAAACAGTTTGGAGAGGCTTCGTTAATATGGTGGATGTTGCAAAATTCTTTATTACCGCGCAAGAAGTCAGCGGTCACGCAAGGGATTTGATGGACGATTTGCCCGATACGGTCGACGTTGTCGGCAGGATAAGTCACGAGACCGTGTGGGACTACATCTCAAAAATGAAGAAAACTGGGTCAAAGGAGATTCTAGTGATTCGTCTTACAGCCGCTAACGACGAAGAGAAGATTCCGTACATAACTCTATACAGTTATTTGAACAGCAGAAGTCGTCTCGGTGTCGTTGGAAACGTTTCCAAAAATATCAAGGACTTTTACATAATGCCTTTCTCAAGTCAAAGCACAATACCTCCGGTTCTGCTACCTTTGATCGGTCCTGGTTTCGAAGAGCACAGACCGCATCTACTTTTGGGAATAATCGTCCGTAACAAAAGAAAACGGTTCTCTGGTGTGACCTCGTCGTCTATACCGATGAAACTGGCTAAGAAAGACACCGATAGAAGCTACACCCCGCCATTAGTCGCCGCTTCGAAGGATAAGGCCAGTAGTTCCAATGTAACAACTATGATAACGGCTACGATTACATCTGCAGCGCCGCCAACAGCCGTGGCTTCTTCGTCGTCGTCGTCTTCGTCTTCGTCTTCGTCTTCTTCTTCCCCTGCCCCAACAATAACCACCAGCGCGTATCTCAAAGCTACGTCTGATTCCGTGAAAGAGAAGCAACTTCCAGTCACGCAAACAACCCTCGACACTTTAAACAGAGCGCATATAGGAATGTCGAGAGGCAGTCTACTCGATACAGCTGCTATATGCAAAATCGTTCCTGAATTGTCTTCAAAGATCGACCTCACTTCCTCGCCTGGCAAAGCACCTCTCGATGACGACGGTGACGAGCCCTACAGCCCCGGCCAGATGGACGAGGAACAGATCGATCTTGACCTGCGAACCTCTTCCTCGACTTGTTCGACAGCCACAGCGATACCGTCGATGTCATCTATATCTATGTCGATGGCTATCGACGGCACCGCGATAGATAACGGTATTATTTCTTCCAGTAAAAGCTCCAACGATCTCCAACGGAAAATGGAAGAACTAAACAGGCAAATCGAAGAACAGAAGCAACAAATACAAAGCATTAGTTCGTCGTTTCTCGGTGAATCAACGCCTACCTTGCCGGTGAGAATTTTCACAAGATTTATTTTTTACAAAATCGATTGTTATTGTTTCTCCTATTGTCCTATTGTAAATAAAATTGATTTCGATTTACCCATGGTATCCTGTTCCTATCCTTGAGCTGCTCAGATTCTTACTTGTTGCGTACAAATTCTGACCACTTTGATCTTTAACGGGGTACGTATGTCTGCATGGGAATATTCTCTCTTCGATTCAACAAGACCGAGCAACTCGCTCCGCATCGTAAGTATGAAGAGGAATATTACGTACCCTAATAGAATTTTCACGAGAAGGAACATAAGTAATATAAAATATCGAGAGAGTCGAATTTAATGCGAAGTAGAAATCTGTCAGTGGCTCCATTCCTTTTCGTTCCCGAGGATTCTCTTTTTCTTCGAATAAATCGAATCGCCCGATCGACTCGCTGATCGAGTATAGAACTAGGGCGGTGGCTGGGCGAGAAATTGAGAGAGAAGGGATGCTTTGGAGAACAATTATTTTTCTGTTAGAGTTTAGACAAAATTTCAACTCGCTACGAATACATGGTTATACTCCTTTTTTCGAAGAACATGTAACGGGTGTGTATACACATTCGCTTATACATGTATATGTGTGCGAGTATGTACGTATATATACATGTATAATTATACTCGAAGGAAAAGAGAAGGGGAACGGTAACAAAGCATGCTTTAAGTGTAACAGTTATAACAAAACCCGTAATTATTTCTCATTTTGTTTCCGTTTATTACAGGGCTTAGGGCTGGACCCCCCGGCTGGCGATGAGAGCGAGGAAGCCTACAGTCCCCCGGACACAAGATCGTTCACACCGCCGCCACCCCCGGGTATTTCAAAATTAACACAGCCAATTCTCGACAAAGTATCGAATATCACGATACCAGCGAATCTGCAAGAAATTCTGGCGAACGTCAAGCGACAGGAGAGCTCTAAAGTGGACCCGTATTTACCATCCAAGCCCAGTGCCACGTTCTTAACCACCGTTAACTCTTCGATTTACCAAAATCCTGAAAAATATTCTTCACCGTCTCCGGTAAAACTTTCAGTTGGCGGCACGAGCAAGACCAATCTCGAGAAAGCTTCGCTGGATGCAAACAATCAACGGGAGTCTCTGCCGAAGGAGAAAGAAAGCAAGAGTACTCTGAGCTCTCTGAGCGACATGGACTTGATCAGAAAAGCGGAGGAAGAATTGGCCGCCGTCGCAGCTGCGTCGGCTGCAGTAGCATCGTCAGGAATCTCAGCGGTTGAAAAGCCGACTCAAACAGCATTAGCCGCGACTCCAGTTCTTCCAACGATAGTAGCAACTTCCTCCTCAGCGATAAAACCAATATCCACGAATCTCTCAGGTATAGCTTCGGCGACAGACTCTTCCTACGAGGGAACCTCGTACAAGAGCTCTTTCCCGGACACCTTCAAGCGAAACCTAGCTCCAGAGCAGCCGAAACCCCCCGGTCTCGAGGACGAGGACTTCCCTCCATTCCCATCCACGCCGCCCAGCGTGGACAGCAACGCATCGAAAACGATGTCGCGTTCAAAGTTCGTTCCAAAGAGTGGGATCGTATTGAGCATGAAACGGAAGGCTAGTGACGATTCTATTGCCGCTTCCGCTTCGAACAAAACAACAAGAGTTAAGTCCCGCTGGGGTCAAGGTCCCTCGGATTCGGTCGACTAGCTTTTGCTTGAGGTGAAGGGAGAGTCATCTTCCTCGGACGATTGAAACTATTACACGTGGTTTTTATGGATGGCTTGTACAGCCAGTTGTCGACACTTGTATCTTAGACCATCGCGACACAACCTGGCCAAACGTCGGTAGCCTAATATTTTTTCAATCAGAATTTGGTGATTAATCGATTCGAAAGGAATAGTTCTTTTCTTTTCGTACCAAACGAGATAGCTTGGTATTTTGCGTCTACTGTTAGGATTGTTGGTGCGCAAGAATCAACCCGTTTCACGTTGATATCCCGAAAACGTCACACATAGATCACTTGTACATACCAAAGCGACGGAAATGAACGCTCTTAAATGCTCGTCGTGCTCTACGCTACGTGTACATAGCCTTATCGAAAATTCTGTAATATATTGTTTAAATTCACTTGGAAAGTTAACAAATTATATAATACAGTGCGTGTGGGCGTTACGTGTGCATGCTACCAGTGTATATAAGTTAGATATAAGGATCTGCGAATGACCAGTGTCGATCAAACGATGATTTTATTTCTCGATTAACTAGGATTTTCGTACATTAATTTCAGGAATATGCGATTCATACTACAGTTAACAACCTGCGAAAGTGGTAAACACAATTTCTCCAACCTTTGTTTCGTTCTTTAAGTTTCGGAGATTAAATGTTCGTGCAATGCTATAATCGTAAATTCTTCGACACGAACCGTTAATTCGCTTAAGCTATTACGACAATACAAACAATGTTTATTTCTCCATTTTAACCAGAAAATCCAACTAAGTACTGGAACTCAATTTTTGTTGTTTTTTTCTAAATTTGTTTTCGATTTAGCACGTACGTCTTAATTATCTCGATGTGAAATGTGATCGGTGCACGTAGTCGCAACGGATCTATGTACTACGATTACTACGGCTAGGGCTTTTATCCGCTATCCCTTTTTTTACAAATCCGGCCTACTCCAGTTAAATATCCTTTCTGTCAAAACTATCGATGAAAAAGTCAACTCTACGTGCACGCCTGATTAGAGGAACCTCGATAAAGGATCATAACTCGGTATTACAGCGACGCAGAGATGGACAAAGTTTTGTAAGATTAATGACAAATAGAAATACCGTGTAGCGTTCTATTTATTACATTGATTCGATCGAACAGTCATTATTTGTTCAACGTGTTCATTTTGTATTCCAGATTATAGACACGTATTATCGAACAAAGAACGGACCAAAAAGGCTATCTTTTTCGTTACTCGAAATCTTTATCTAGATAAGAATTTTGACCATCTCCGTTGCTACGTTCATATGCAACTATAGTTCATGTTTTACATGTGTCACGAAACTGCGCGATTAAAACGTGTTTATTTGTCGATTCACAAACAGCGTACATTAGAAGGTGATAAACATTTCGATCGAAAAACAGCCTCACGGAATTTCCATTATTTATAGTCCAAACTTAATTATTGCACGAATGAAGCACTCTAATTGTAACTGTAGTCGTGTACTCTTAGAATCCATTTTATACGATTCAATTTAATTTTTATACACGTTTCCGACTAGTGTGGACACAATAGCAATTCACTGTATAAGGATATCATTATCAATGTTCTTAGCGTTATTTCCATTATTACTATTATCTTTGTCATTGTTGCTAGTTAGCTACCGTTATTATCTTCGTCGTCGTGAGCGTTGTTGTCATTATAACTCAACGTCATCACCATCGTTATTATGAATATTATTAATTTCAATTACAACAAAGATTATGTACGATCAGTACTTTTCGTTGATTTGTTTCATTACTTTGATACCTACCATTTAAACGATATTTGCAGGACACATGTCTGCAAGCATTCGAAGCGTTATTTTTTCTGTATTCGAAAGAGGATTAGCATTCTGGATAATATCATAAAATTGTGTAACGAGTTAAAATTTTGTAACGCGTCAAGTTTGGTTAAGTGTCAATAGAAGACACTTCTCGATAGCCAGACACAGCGAACCGACCTCATTTTACGTCAATAAATTGTATACTTGTATGGAGCTCATGTATCGCGTATTATATCGCAGCGTTAAAGTTTCTCCACTTTGATACTACTCGTTCTTTCTTTCATTCGCAAGCTCGTAAGATCCATAAAAGAAAAAGCTTTTACGCCATCAGGCCACATTACACCAATCACACTGATTGCAACTGATTGTGACTGATTGCGCCCACTCTAGGTTCTACTAAGTTCTACCAGGTTCTACTGTACGTATACATATATGTAACTTTTTTAACGAAGACTTACTATTGTCCGCCCAACTTAACAACAAAGAAAATTGATTTTCTCTACTTTTATTAATTTCTCATTGGAATTTAGAATTTTAGTTTGCACAAATCTGATATGATCTTGGGTAATTACGAAGATCTTATTGGCTGCTGTGTTGAGATGTAATGCGATCAATTTCCACAGTAGCGCACGATTCAAGATCGTCACATACTATGTGCGCATGCGTCACTCACAAACCACGTTGCCAACTACTTCCGGAATGAAGGATCGTCCATTTTTCTGTACACGCGCAATGGGTGCAGAGCCATTTTGTACGGAGCATCAACGTGGCAACCGGCGTGCCCGGTATTCTTGCTACCATGAATATTTGTGAGTACCATTTAATTGCATGCTGCTTTTAAATTTCTTTGTCTATATGTGTACACCTACGGATATCCGTATATACTTCTGTTATCGTCAAACGATGTACACGCGTTATTCACAACTCGGCTATTCTGTATTATCTACTCTAATGTTCCATCAAGTCTTATAGAATTTCATTCAACTTATTTACTCTATTTTCTTTGTATAATCTTAATGCTATAGCGCATACGCTAATTATATGTAATCTGTATATTTTCTAATTGTAACAAGCTTTACGCCCGATTCTAACAGTCTTAAAAATTAACCCATTTATGTATTATCTCTTCGAATATTTATTTTCACCAATGCAACTAATTCCGTTTCGTTGCTTCAATTTAACCGAAATGTGTAATTATAATATGATTACTTTTTCATTCTAATTGTGGCAAGTATAACACAATAAAGTGTTCTGTCAACTTCAGAATTGTATTGTATTTCAGCCTTACTATTGTTAATTGCAATCACGCAAATAACAATATGTTTGTCAGCCAACGAAGCTCAGCAGTCGACAAATTCGTACTTAACAGTGGCTGATAAAGCTCATTTTAAAAAAATCCTTGAACCAGGTTTGAAATCAAACGATGTATCTCTTGTATATTATGCTGTTTATGGATATAAGCTTCTTGGTGAAACATTACCAAACCAGAAGGTATGTTTGTGTATCTATACATAGTGGTTTCTGTACCAAAAAATGGTCAATACATGATGAATAATGCAAATTCTGTGAAACATAATGATTCTTTGATTAGTCTTTCTGATAAAAATGATAGTTTCTCTAAACATTTCAAGGATCGCTTGGCTTTGCTTTAATAGAATTTTTGTTTTCAGGATATTTGCGATAGCTTGATGAAGGTTGCAAAAGATGAAACAAATCTTAATACTGAGAAAGCATTTTTCATTGCATCTACATGGAAAGCCATTGGAAGCTGTCCAAATAATCCAAATATCGCAAAGGTATAAATTTGAATTTTTAAAACTGATTTTTTGTTTAACTGGCACTATGCATGATACATATTTAATAATAATGATGTTATAAAACTTTCGTTCTACTGCATTTTTACAATGAAGAAAGCTATACTTACTGAATGAAAACTTTAATATAGACTTAATAAGTCTATTACATCAAAAAATGTTAATGTAAACACTTTTATTTGAATAGGTGCTCCTGAGCGTGGTAGATAAGGATGGTTCCAGTATGTTGGAATTGTATTATGCAGTCAATGGTTTAACAGCGTTATCTCAAAAACTGCCACGCGAGAAAATTGATAAAGTAGTTAAAGCGATGCAGAGTATGCTACGAAAGGACGACAATCTCTGGAAGTACGATCTGTTTTATTAATATTTCAAGCATAAAATATTATAATTAGAGATAAGATTTATAATAGTCGTTATTAATTCTAATGTGTCTCGATTAAATGTTCTACGAGCAGCTTGGGTTATACTTTTCACATCGCCTCAGACTTGGGAGCTAGCGGTGTAGTTGCTTGGGATCGTATCGAAGATGCAATCGTTCAGGCCGACGAAGTAGATGGACAGTACTTGCAGTTCGAAGGTGGCTTATCTGTGACTAGTGAGTAATAAACTTTGCATCTAATTGAACGGCCGATTATATAAAGTACACTGTGGTTCATTTTCATGTTTCGATTAATGTATTTTTCCGTGTCTCTTGTTTTCTAGGTTTCTTAGTTAACGGCATTTTAAAACTCTCTAATACTTTGAAGACAAAGCCACCATTAACGACTGTACAAACCGTTAAAATGGCTAATTATCTTCTTTCTCGACGGTCTGTACAGACGCCAAAAGGGGTTACGAATCTACTTTCGGCGTTAACGACTATGGCAAACAGCGATATTGAAAAACCAGCTTGCATAACATTAGCCAACGAAGGAATCGGTATTTCTGCTCAGCAGCCGTTGGTCACGGTGAAGGTTTGCGATATTTTGGGCAATTCGCTGACCAGTGTGTCCAAAGTAATCGCAAATTCGGCAACACGAGTTGGAGATGATTCTGTCGTTTTGAGTAAACAGAGCTTGCAGGCTTCACCGACGGACAAGTGAGTCTAAATTGCCGTTTACCATTCTCCCCACAACTTTACCGATTCCGTTTCATATTTATCGAAGTCGGCTATACACTGGGGTACAATAATTTTCGTCAATTTAACCCTTCGTCCTTTTTTATTCAAAGAAAGGTCAAGAAAATTGACGAACAGTTTTTTGTTATTCTTGCAAAAATGATGTTTCGAATACTCACATTCGCTGAAATTTTTGTTTTAGAACGTTATACACGTTAAATCTCATGGAAACTAAGCCGGAACGTGGATTCTACAAGATATCTATTACGGCCGGAACGGTGACGAACACAGTTACAGTAAAAGTCCTTTGTCAAGTAATGGTTGATTATTTGGAGATCGGTACCGGTGATGCTGATCAAACTACTCAGCCAAAGCTGTCACGGTAATTTTAACGAGAATCACTTTCTACATACATAAAAGTGAAAGTACGTGGTAAACGTTGTGACATAAGTTTTATGCTATTTACAGAGTGACCTACCCAGAGAAACTAACTAATAAGATAGAAGCTGACTCGCAGCAAAAATTGGTCATGCGGTTTTTACTTAAAGACGGCGCCACTAAGAAGAATATGCGAACCCATCAAGCTTTTGTACGACTCTCTTCTGCGTCTACTTCGAACGATGGTAAAAAGGGTCACGAAATTCTCTTTGTGGCCGAACCAGATGCGTCGCATGTTTACAAGTTCGATATGGTAATTCTGTGTTTTGATTATTTATCGTAATTGGTTCATGGGCAATTTGTGTAACGAATCGTGATGATGTGAACTTCTTTTTGAAACGTTTCAGCCAGTCGGGTCTGCAGCCGGGAACTTCGACCATCAAAGCGGAGATTACAACGTGGAACTAATCGTCGGTGACGCTATTCTGAATAATCCTTTCCAGTGGAAACTGGCAACAGTCACTTTAAAATTCCCTGAACCGACTTCAGCTGAACGAATCGATAAAAGCAATTCTCACAGGCCTAAACTTGACGTTTATTCAACCAAACCGGAGATAAAGGTTTAATATTTTAGTGTTCTTACATGTATCCTTTAGTAGGATAGTAACCAATGCTCGTTAGTGATA